TAAAGTACAAAGTGAATTTTCATCACCATTGAAACAAAAACATCAAATGAGGACCTGGTAAATTTCACATCATGATCACGGGTGGTACGGTGGAACTGGCTATTCTAATCAATAACTATGACTGGGGGGGGTAGAGGAAGTTTGGAGGGTAACCCCAAATTTAGGATGTCACATGTTCATTTTGACCCCGAACAAATTGCATCAATGAACTTATTCACTTACTTTCTGATTACAAAACATTATCTGGATTGGTAATACATTCGATGACGCGTTTATTTACAAAAAGTCACTTTCCGTGTATAACACTGCAGTTAATTGAACTTTAAATCGAGGTTCAGATGAAAAGAAACTATTATTTGGGGATCTGAAGGGTTCGTCTGAAGGCCCTGAAACCTCTAATGGTCCTCGTTGTTATCAGAACATGCCATCGAGAGTCGTATAATTTTTGTAACTCACCGAGGATTATTGTCGGCGATTTTAAAATAAAACTGTTCAGAAAAAACAAAAGCTTAATAAAAGAACCAGCGATGATAACTTTTGATTCGACCTTTTTGTTCACTAGTTGACCGATAGAAATGATCACAAAGTATTCGATGATTTCAAGTAAACGATCGATGTCTGTAATAACTTGGGTAGCGACCTTGTCACCGACATGATTTGAACCCTACGGTCCGAGGTTCGATCCTCGTCACCGCCACCCAACTATGGTGGTAGGCAGCTTTGCTGTTGTCCGGTTCAATACCACGCCTAACCTAGTGGGGCCTTATGTGGCTCGCCAGTCCAAGTCCAGGAGTTTAGGTTGGCGGTTCCCATCAAGTTACAGCAGCTCCTCGTGACTATGGGGGTTAACCCGTCTGCTGTTCATCACACACAAAGTTGTGCAATAAAAAATAAAATAATCAACCATAACTAACTAACTAACTATCTCAGTGGAGTTCAGTTCAGTTCAGTTTGTACAACCATTAACCGTTCAGTAGCGTGTGCCGGTTTTGGTTGCTGCCTTTTGGCAGCCAATTCGGAAGAACATTGGAAGAAAGACAGGAAAGTTGAAAGTGCAATCAAAGAGAAAATTCAGAATTTCAGTGGACTAATGTTGCAGAGAAATTCACAAGATGCATGAACGCCACTATTTACGACACTCAATGTCTCTGACCATCGGGTATGATCATCC